ACTATTTAAACTGAACTGAGCTGGATGATGACATCACTGAATTCAATGATGAACTGCCTTTAACTGAAAATTGAGTGTTTACTATCGTCCTTTTGCATTATTGACACTATTTTCCTATCTAATACTGTAAAGTTGCTTTGACACAATCTGTATTGTTAAAAGCGCTATATAAATAAAGGTGACTTGACTTTTAAATCCTGTATATACACAAAGGAAAATATTTTGAAGAATGTGAAGAACAGTTCTGTGGAACCACTGACTTCCATAGTATTTTTTTTTCTTACTATGGAAGTCAATGGTCCCCCGAAACAGCATATATATATATATATAAGTCCGGACTTCCGCTGGGAAGGAAATATAGAGACCAGACCTCTCGGAACTTTAACTGAATACCCCTGCTCTAGGCCTTATTGTTTGGTCTGCACAATCCGTTTTATGGCAGAATAATAATAATAATAATAATCAGGACAAATACAATAGGGTTTCAACTCTTTGCACTAGAACCCCTCATAATGCCTCACATACACACTAAAAAATTGAAGACTTAATACTGAAAACTTGGATCTGGAAATATACAAACCGTTAAATCAGGGTGGCATGCCACAAAGTGCTTGTCCAGTCGCACAAAGCCAGTGGGCACCTGGGTGCAATGCAGTGGACACTGCAGCTTTGCAGTGAATCTAGAAATATTATCAAAAACAAAAAAATTATAATTATAATTACAACTTTAACCTGATACTTTATTTACAGGTTTCAGTTATGCAACTTCGTAAATATGAGTCAAGAAGTAATTCACATATAAAATGGAAATTCCCAACATCTGTTAGCTAAATGTGTACATTAATGAATTCCAATCATTCATAATTGAGGGGTGTGCATGTTCATTCACAATTATAACCCATGGCCACAAATTACAAATGAAACCTTACTTAAAGTAAGGATTTTCACATGACTACACAAAAGAGATTAAATGGGAAAAAAAATTGATGCAGAACTGTTCTGATTATGTAACATGAATGAGGCACAACGCGTCACATTAACATTCAGCCCTGTACAATGCGAGAAAATCTATAGACCAATTTAGAGTAGACGTCACAGTTACGTCACTTGCAGCTGCGCGCGCATAGTGGTTGCAGAAAAACACTGGGAACAAGTGGAGATAAATGGGTAAAATCCATGGAATAAAAGAAAAAATATATTTTTGTGCTTTTTGATGTCAAGATCGGAATGCAAATAATTTTTATAGAATATTGTCGTCATTTGAAGCTAAACGCAGCGTTTAAATGGACATACTATGGATGAAAACTGCTATGATTACTCTACTTTTAAAGCATAAATTCGATTTAAACAATAGGTCTACATAATATTCACATATGCTGTTCATAGGGGACGTATTGTATTAGCCCTACAGTTACAGCATGAAATATTATTTAAACCTTACTATTAACATTTTTACATAACATTTATTTATTTTATCTCACAATTCTGACTTTTTTTCTAGGAGTTTATATCTCCTAATTCGGACTTTATAACTCGATTTAACTCAAAAATAGTGAGTTTGTCAAATCTGAGGGGAAAAGAGAGAATGACGAGTTGTTTTTCCTTATTAGAATTGTCAGATATAATCTCGTTATTGCGAGAATAAAGTCAGAATTTTGAAATATAAAATCAAATTGACTTTTTTTTATTCTTTTATTCCATGGCTCCATAGACTGCCACTTGAAAACCGTCATTTTCTGCCTCCAGATAGGCTCCGCCCACAAAAAACGTCATCCCTGTTTCGGATCTGTAAGACTATCCCACTCTCTATCGTCAATTTCGTTGAATAACAGTGCTTATCGCTGGGTGACAAGCTCTTGTAATATGCGGAGAACATTTTGAAAATGACATCTAATCAATATAATTTATAATCTTTTTAAACCTAACTATTTTGTACCGTATCTGTGAAATTCTCTAGCCGTAAAGGCTATCTCTCCCGGGTTTTCTGCAACCATGATGCGCGCGCATCCTGAATGTTTACAAACCTATAATTGGTCTATTATCAGTATATTAAATTCTCCTATCATGTGTTAGCATTACAATTACGTGAATTAATTGTCATGGAAACTTCAGAATGCAAAAACAAACAAACAAAAAAAAGAGAAACAAGTATATATTTTACATAAAGGAAATTAAGCCTGTTTTAGGACTTTTATTTTGCATTGATATTATTGTCGGGAAAATTAAGCACATTTTGCTCCCCACATTTAAATTTTTCGATTTTATCAGCATCAATGTAGTACAACAAATACTGCTATTATGTGGATTAATATTTTACAAATTATGAGAATTCGGAACGGAAACGTGCTCAAATTGTCATGAACATTTCAGAACGAAAAACAAAAAATAAAAATAAAATGTATTTTGCATAAAGAAAATTCAGCCAGTTTTTAGGACTAGTATTATCATTTTTAGTGTAATGTTAAAAATAAGCACATTTTGCTCCCCAAAATAATCAAATCCCATTGTAAGTGATTTTCACACCGTAACATAAAAGTAAAATTTTTTTTAATTAAATCAGTATCAAAGCAGTACAAAAAAATACTAACATGATGTGTATACATTTTTAACTTTTTTTTCACATTTTTTTCCCCCACAGAATTTTTAAATAGAAATGTGCTTAATTGTAACACAAAAAAACATTAATGGTCCTAAAAGGGCTTAATATTTTAATTAGTCCTCTAGACTATTTACACAGTCAAAATGATTTTCTGTTGTAATCAACATTATACAAAATGTATTATGTATTGCATTATGATTTGTATTGAACTCCTGAATTCCTTCAAAGGTACTTGATGATCACTTTTATTAATCATTTGTCAATAAAACGATACCATGCATGATTATGTTTCACTTCTGCTTTAATTTCCTGTAAGTCAGAGTCAAATCTAACCGCCACCGTATCACCGATCAGCATCAGATCACAGACCACAGCACCGGACGAGTCTAGTATGATATGGAGAATGAGTCTGCAGATGTTTTACTAACCGCTGTTCATCCAATCCAAATCACTGGGTGAACCTCACAGGTCTGGGTCACATTTCACTCTAAAATCAGATTACAAAAGATGCAATTCATTTTTCCATGAAAATCTTTTGCATTATGACACAATTTCCATGACAATCAAGCATATTTCTCAGAATTGGGCTTTACAGTAAAGAGAAATCTGGTGAAATACGACTTGGACAGCTTTCGTGAGGTTCACCTTGAAAACATCCAGACTGTTAGGAGTCAAACTAGCTCTGCGATCGAGTATGTGTGTGTATCAGTGCTCGCATGCGCTTCGCCTGCGTCTTTTGGAGGAGGATTTCCTACGAGACGTACCTTTCGGAGATGGTACGCGGATGACAGATTTCCAACGAAAGATGTATGACGCTAAAGGGTTCAGATATCGCAAACGACGTTTTTTCCCCCAAAACACTGAATTCTGATTGTCTGGAGGTCATAAAAAAATCCAAACACACACACATACAAAAGAAAAAGAAACGAATAAATAGTACAAATGTAATCAATGTTTCGCCCGTTCTTTCAGTTCTGGAAGTCCTGAATTCATAGTCAAATCATTCTCGCGCTGAAGTCTTTGTAGTGTTTGCGTGATCTTGTGAAATATTGGGACGGGGTGGATATGTACAAACACCAGTGCAGTAAACCGTCTATCTCATCCATGCATCTGGCGCTCTTAAAGTGTAAACAGCATTTCATTCAGATCGTTCTTTGTAAACACGTACGTCCGTATGTACCATGTGAAGCGCTCCGGTTCACCTGTTTCACAGTCTGGAGACGTTGTTTGGTAAACTGCTCCCCTTCAGAAACGCCGTCTGAAGTCCAGGGGCTTGCTTCCTCTCCTCCAGCCGCAGCCTGACTTCCTCGTCCTCCATGTTCACTGAAGCGTGTCTCTCTGAGCCGTATGGGAGGTGAGGTGATGGGATAACGGCGGTGAGGTGTTCAGGAAGCTGACGGAGGTATCAAGACTCCTCAGTGTCCAGCGGGACAGGTTGCGATGGTTTATTCAACACCGCTTCAGCTTCATCATACAACTGCAGACAGGAACAGTCTGGGGTTTTATCAGGAATCATATTCTATTCGAAATTTGCTGATAAATATTAACATTTAGGCTAGCAAAGCTCACTCAGGCTGCATTTATTTGGTCAAAAATACAGTTTATATTATAACAGTTTTAAATAACCGTTTTCTATTTGAATATATTTCAAATGTAATTTATTCCTGTGATCAAAGCTGAATTTTCAGCATCATTACTCCAGTCTTCAGTGTCACATGATCCTTCAGAAATCAGTCTAATATGAAACATTTCTTATTGTTATCAAAGTTGAAAACAGTTGTGCTGCTTAGTATTTTTCTGGAAGCCCTGATATATTTTTTTCATGATTCCTTGATGAATATTAAGCTCAAAAGAGCAGCATTTATTTGAAATAGAAATGTCTTTACTGTCACTTTTGATCAATTTAGTGCGTCTTTGCTGAATTGTTTTAAACTTAAATAAATAATTTATCTTGATACACTTTCAAATAAATCTTGATAAAACTTGAAAAAATTCAACCAATCTTTATCTAGACGAAAAAACCTGTGTCAGATTTGATGTCATTTTTAATTTGATACTAATACATTTTTTTTATTATAATTTTAATTTACTTCATAAAATGTCTTTATAGCTTACATTATATTATAGCTTTAAATACTGGAGGTCCCTAGTATGACTGAGAGTCTGTGAAAAGATGTAGAAGCTACACACTAGAACTTTTCTGAGCAATATGAACTCCGAGTCCTTTGGTTCAGGAAGTATTTTGGTGGAGATTTGTTATAGAGGCTTTCAGGAGAGACGCCGTACCGGAATGAACTGCACATCCTGGAAGAGCTCTTGGATGAAGCGGCGTGAGGCCAGACGAAACATGCAGTTGGCCAGCAGGAAGGAGACCTCAGAGTACAGGCAGATGTCATCAAACGTGAACGGGAACTTCTCTTTTATCCTGCAGAGGGCAGCAGAGCGTTACGCAGGGCTAAAACAAACACAGAACACACACTGGCACAGTATTTCTCGGCTCTTCTTACGTGAGCAGTCCGGTTTCGTGTCCTTTGGTGCCTACTGAAGAGCTGAGGTTGATGACGAGTCGCAGAACCTCTTTCCTCAGCAGAACTCTGCAGGCCGGGCCGTCCTCAGATATCGGCTTTCCACCTATATGAACACATACAGGTTTGCTTTTCTATCATGGACTTTTCATTGACCTCCATTGCTTTGATACTGAACAAATGCTATTTTCTCCTATCTCCTAAACGTTTACATTTGGACACTATTTAGTTTGTTTATTGTTAATCCCTCCACAAAGTAGCTGATTTTGGTTATTACTTTACTTTATATGCTAAACAAATATCTACTAAAACGTAGATGCATTTAATAAGATATGGATCCCTTTTATACAATTTGTTAATAAGTAGATGAGTGCAATGTCAAATAATGATGACTGTGAGGTCCCTGACATAATAGTTTTACATTTTTATTGATTAACTTGTTTAAAAAAACAATAACAGATACGGTTCTGATAAATTTAAGTCAGATTTCTTATGTTGATTATTATCATTATTACTATTTTTATTATATACGTTGGGGTGGAAAAGTTGCAAATGTTTTGTATTTTGTTTGGATAGTATAAGAAAACTGAATAAAAAGGAACGGAAAAAACGAAACATCTATCAGTTATCTAGAGAAAAAAACGTCAATAGAACTCATATTTAATTTGACACTAATAAAAAGATTTTGTTCAAAAAAAACTATTATAGATACTGTAATTTATTTTGTTTATTATTATTATCATCATCATCATCATTAATAATATTACTTATTTTGTTGTTGTTGTTATTATTATTATATTTTAAATTTAATTACTACATATGCTGTGGTTGAAAAGTTGTGTTGCTCCTTTGGACAGAACAACAAAAATTCATAAAAATAGAAATGGGAAAAAAATGTAGCCTTTATTAATTACCTAGATTAGAAAAATATATTTATTTAAATATTTAAGTATTTTTATATCTTTAAAAAAAATATACTATTCTGATAATTATTATTTTCTTATGTTTAATTTAATTTAATTTTTATACATGTTAGGATGGGAATGTTAGAATTGTTTTGTATTGTCCCAGTTCAATACAAACAGAATGTTAAAAAAATTAAAAACTGAAAAGTTCACTCTTTATCTAGACACTATTTGTCAATGTCAGAATAAAAAGATTTAATTTGACACTATTGAAAATGTTTCATGTTGTACCGTTGTGCACCTGGATGTTCAATGATGTCCCAGTAAAACATAAACTTCCGGAAATTGTCAATGCACTAAACAACTCCAGAAAAAATGGTTGTGAAAAGTCGTCTCAGTATGTGGTTTGGAATCTCAGAGGTAAAACAGAAGGTCTTATTCTCACCCAGTATGAGCTCTGTGCCGGGAGTGCTGCTGGCCGAACCCTGACTGACGGCCGCGTCGCTGCAGCCCGAGATCCCCGAGAACTTGGACTGGGCGACCACCTCCAGGTGATTATGGGAAGACTGGCTGTGCCACTGAGAGAAACCATCAGACAGATCTACCGGAAAGAGGAGTCAGGTATGAGGAACAAAAGGAACTAAATTCCTAATTTTTACCCAAATCTGGGCTTTGAACCTACAACCTTTCCAGTTACAACCAGATCAAGTTACTCTATTTACTAACACTCACAGTCTCCAATGCTTCCTCATAATCAGTGATTCCTTTCAGAAAACAGCAGGTTCACAAAAATTGAAATGAGAAAGATGTTTAATGAAGCTGAAATGCTCTGGTAGCGTGTGTTTGCTCACCTGTGCGTGTGTGTGTGTTGTTCAGGTGGCTGTGTGTGTGTGAGCCGAGGACGGTGATGGCGCAGCAGTAGAGGCAGTTCTGCTCCGTGTGCTCCTGTAGGCCTGTACTCTCATCGGCTCCCAGCAGGTGCTGCTGCTCCGACCGGCTGCTGTTTAACAGCTCGGTTATACTCATCTGCGGCTTCAGTGGAGGACCACGACACGGTTCTAAGAAACCCACAAGAAACATGCAGATTTGTTTAATACAATTATTCATTTACTTATAATTTTATACACAATCATTTTGGGGTCTGTAAGATTTTTTATAAGAAATAATACTTTTCTTTAGCAAGAACACATTAAATTGATCTAAAGTGACAGTAAAGGGCTATATAATGTTAAAAAAGATTTATATTTCAAATAAATGCTGTTCTCTTGAACTTTTTATTCATCAAAGAATCCTGTAAAAAATGTATCACTGTTTCCACAAAAAATGTATACATTGATAATAATAAGAAATGTTTATTGTGCAGCAAATCAGCATATTAGAATGATTTCTGAAGGATCATGTGACACTGTAATGATGCTGAAAATTCAGCTTTGCATCACAGGAATAAATTACATTTTAAATTATATTCAAATAGAAAACAATTCATTAAAATTGTAACAATATTTCATAATATTACTGTATCTTTGATCAAATAAATGAAGAGCAGAAGAGACTTCTTCAAAAACATTCAATCTTACCAACCACAAACATTAGAACGGTACTACTGAATTTCTATTTAATTATTAAAAATAATTGTATTATTATTATTCCTACTACTACTAATAATAATAATAACAAATACAGAAATATAAGGGTGATGCAACAAGCAGTCATACCATCAGATTCTCCAAAAAGAAACTTGGATGATTTTTCTCCAGCAGGGGGGCTTGTTCTCTTCTGGAAATATGATGTTTCTTTAATCTAAAAATAAAGTAAAATCTTGTGTAAACAAACATTTACACTATTACAGTAACTTTCCCTACCTGAAAAGAAGTAATTTTCTACAAAAAAAACTAACAAACAGTGTTTTTGACATCTATATTTCACATTTCTTGGTCACTAAAACTAGGCTCCCTGCTTTAATGCAGATCTATTCTGGTATTTTTATCATCTAACAAGTGAAAATAACAAATAATAAAAAAGTCTAATCAGGAAAATTACCACACGCTTGCTTCTCCTAAATAAGTCACACAATCAGAGTTATGCCCAAAGTGAGAGCGCAAAAAAAAAAAAAGTTAAAATGACTGCACCTTCAATTGAACAAACACAATGAAAATTGAATCAAATTCGCATGAGCCTCTATACACTCTACAGATGCATTACTAAAAGTTCACATAGTGAAGACACAACAAAATGCACCTGAAACATGTGGTTGATGTCCAGGGGCAGCGCCAGGCCGATGTAGTCCTCACTGCAGCCGAAGGTGGCGCTAGAGACCATGGAGCGCAGGGAAGAGGAGCGCTGCAGGGTGGAGTGATTGATTGGACTCAATAAGTCCTCCTTATCCAGAGACGCAAAACTCAGAGCTTTCAAAAACCTGAGAGGAGAGCGAACACAAGCACACCCACTGCAAAACATTAGCTTTAATCCAATAAATCTTCAGCTAGACTTTCATTTTTATTAGCACACAGACACAAACTAAATAGTATGCATTACACTAGTGCTTACCAAATCATAGTATGAAGGAAATGGTAAGACAGGACTACAAATAAATTGTGGATTTTATCATTATATACATAAGACATCCAACATGATGCATCCAATAATACCAACTAGACTATCTAAAAGCGTGTGAATTGGGATGCAGCCAAAGACGTTATTAAACCACCTTAGTTTGAGTGAAGGTGGAATTGGATTCCCAGCAGTAGATCGAGCATCCCAGTTCAGCACTACATCAACAAGGTTTGCGGTTTTCCTGAAGGACTGTTTCCACAAGCATCTAACTGAGTCTTACAGGTGCATTAGTATCCAGTCACTCAGCCATCATCAAATGTGAATGAATGAGTGAAAGATGGGGAAACTATTCGGGGGAGAATGACAGTGGATCTGTAGTCGCACGGGACGGGACGTTGCCTTGTACTCTACAGTATTTCTAAAATTGAAACTCTACGGCGGGTCCAAGCTAATGAGGGGATTCTACTCTCTCTACCCATCATGGCACAAGGGTTCTGGACACTCTGCGGTGGGAGCTGAACGGCTCAGAATACCTTTTCCCAGAACACCTGAGAACCAGCAAAAAACACCCCGAACTTCAATTGCACTTTCATATATATGTCAACGCAAAAAAAAAAAAAGCTGTTAAGAAGTCGTATTTCAACCCAAACAAACAACTCAACAAATATAAAATAATGTATTTGAAATAAAATACATTTAATTATACAAAAATACTGGTATCTTAAATTATATTTAATTATACTGTAATTTAATTATAATTTATACATGAATTATTATATAATAAGAAAATCAACCTCATTCAGACTTTTTGGACCATTGCATTATCATGACACATATTTTCATTAAAATATATATTTTCACCCAAAATTCTTATTACAGTAAAGTGCCACTTTAGTAATAATAATATAATAAATATAAAATACATGTATATATTTCAGAAACATGTGTTATGTTTATATATTAAATATATTTATTTATAATATAAATTATATGAATATAAATACAGACATGTAAATACAAGTAAATATTTTTTAAATATATACTGTATGTGTGTGTATTTATATATACATAATTATACACACACACATATATAGAGTAGTTTAGTAGTTAAATGAAAGTTGAAAAAGTAGAAGTAAATGCTGTGTACCTGCGTGGCGTCAGCCGGGAGTCGAGGCTGCGTGTTTTCATGGTGATGGTATCTGTAAACAGCACGTCTTTAGCGGGAGACGCCAGCGCTTCGCTGTGTGAGAGAGACGGGTGGATCCTCTGCTGCTGCAGGCGTTTCAGCGTGGCATATCCCAGCGCGTCACGCGGGCTCGTGTAGATGTAGCTGCAGTCCACCAGGCTCTTGATGGTGGCCACGGAGGGCGACTTCAGCGACTGTGCCCTGCGCGGCAGCGTGTGCGCCGACCCGGGAAGAACTAGCGAGGTGGAATTAGACTTGGACAACAGGATGTGATTGTGGTTGGACTGAGGACTGAGCGAGTGTTGCATTTTCACACTTTTGGCGCTCACCACCGTGTTGAGGCTGGCGCAGTCAGTATCCATGGCAATGGAGGAGGCGGGCTCTCGGGAGGGCGAGGAGCTCATGGAGCTGATGCCACTGGTGGTCGTGTCTGTGTTGAAGCTATGACTGCGGCTCTTAAACGTGCCGCCGCCGGGCAGTACAGACGCACCGTCGCAGGTCAAACGCTCCCTGCTGCTCCGCTCCCTCTGACCGTCACCCGGGGTCACGGCCTTATGTTGACCTCTGCCTTCCAAATCCGAGCATCCCTCGGTGCCATACGGCTCTGCTAGTGCTTTAATACCCACAAACGAAGTCTCGAGGCTGACCGTTGGGCTGTGAGGCATGTGACTGCCATTATAAAAAACCTCGCTCTGCCCCAAGTGGCCTGGAGAGTAGTTCGAGGGCTCTGTTATGGTCCGGTTGCGCCACATGAGCCGGAGCTCCTCGGGAGATTTTCCCACGTTTGTCGTGCCTTTAGTGTCACTGGGGCTCCGTCCCTTCTTACTGGGGAGAGACAGGGAGTTCAGAAAGCGGTTTCGGAGATGCGAAGGGGTCAGGATGGTGAAGGGGCTTCTGTCCTTTGAGGTTTTTGTGTGTATACCAAGAGAAGAGTCCTCGTACATGTCCAAACCCTCACGGTCATCGTCCATGAAATACAAACCTAAGTGAGACGTGAAATATTACAATGGATGTAAAATGCAAAACAACAGATTGCAAGGAATACTTATGCATACATTTTTTGTGTGTGCATGTTTTTAACTAAAACTACTAAAAATGGTCTCAAGTGAAAAAAAACAAATATTAGATGAAAAACTTAAATGAAAATGAGAAATTTTGGCTAAATGAACTAAATGAAATAAAAGTTTCAGGTGAAGTGCTAAAATTAGTAAAACTAAAACAAGTATTAAAATAAATAAATAAAAAATAAAAAAGCATATAACAATTACTAAACCTAAAATTAAAATTAACACAGAAAATATAAAAAATATATATAAAAAAAAAATCATTATAATAATCTAAAAAACAGCTCTAGCTTGCTTCCAAATCAAGCTTATTATGAATATTATAATATATTACAAATATTGTTGCCTCTTGGACAAATTGCTTTTGTTTCTCTTTTGTAAGTTGCTTTGAATAAAAGTAAATGTAAACATCCTTTAACCACGGTCAATTTACTTTAAACAAGAAATAAAAGCTAAAAAAAATATTTAACATGTTTTCAGAGAATTAATCTTGAAAGAGTATTTTTTGTTTATCTTACTCCATTGGCATATTTAGTGAATTTAGAGATGTGGTGCAAAATCACCAATATAATAATAAAAAGAAGACGATAGAATCTCTCTAAACAATTATGCAACTACTATAACAGTAAATTAATCAAGTTTAAGGATATTTAGATATTTTACTTGCAAACCAGGAGAAAAACAGATCAAGAAATATTTTCATGTTGATATGTTAAGCATGTGCATTGACTCACTGGGCTGACTTTCACTCTCGCTGTTGTGGCGTGAGCTGGTGGACTCAGAGTTGAGGCTGAGCGTGCTGGGCACAGATGACAGTTCGCTGGGCAGCGGAGCATCCACTTCATCAGGGACGACGGGCCACTGCTGCCTGCGGCTGTGCCGAACAGAGTCCCATCCCAAAGCCTTCAGCACATCACTGCCCTGCCGCGTGCGGCTGATCACACCCAGCACATACACACACGTACTGCAAAGACAGCACTGCTTGTTACTTACTGGATATATGATGCAAGGTTATTTCAATGCTATCTGCACTACTATTACTTTAGTTAGAGTGAGAGTGTCAAAACAAAAAAGAGGAAGGTTTAATTGGATGGTTATAAAATATGAAGAAATGCTGTGGACAGGGCAACAAAAAAAAAATGTTGCTGTTTGACTTACAATCTCCAAATCATCCATTTGAGATGAGATTATGTTTAAGGAATTTTTGGTTAAAAACTACTGTTCAAGAGTTTGGGGTTGGTGTGATTTTTGTTAAATGTTTCTGAAAGGTCTTCTATCCTCACCAAAGCTGCATTTATTTGATTAAACATACAGTAAAAACAGTAATATTGTGAAATACTGAATATATTTTTTCTGTGATGCAAAGCAGAATTTTCAGCATCATTACTCTGTACTAATCATTACTACAGTCTTATGCTGATTTGCTGCTCAATAAACATTTCTTAATATTATCAATGTTAACATTTTTGTGGAAAAAGATTTTTCCTACGTTATGTAACGGCCTCTTGCTAGCATGTGTAATGTTCCCACAGATGCTGTCCATGGGCATTAAGGCCCTGTCCACACGGAGACGCGATAAGCTGTATACACATACATTTTGTATTGTATAGGCGCTTCGTCCACATGGATCCGGCATTTTGGGAGAGTGAAACCGATATTTTTTGAAACCGGGTTCCAGAGTGGATAAATCTGAAAACGCCGCCCTTGCGTTTTCGTGTGGACAGCGTATACTACATCGTTTTGTGTCGGTTTCGTGGTTTCGTGTGGATGCAGATATTACTTGAGACGAGGGAAAAAAAAAGATTGGATAGGGAAAGCTCTGGCTTCGTGTGGACGTAGCCTAAATGTTGTAAATAACCAAATACGTTCCTATATTAGGCAGTCTTACCCACGTATGGACAGAACCTCACAGTGCTGAGCCAGAGCAATAATATCTGGAATCACGTTCTCCTCTTGTAGGAGGTTCAGACCCCAGTTTGAGCTGCCAATGTTGCCCTGCAATATTTAAAATGACCGTAAACTTGCATACAATGACAACAGAGACATTCAAGGATGCAAAAAAATATCACTGACCAGAGCCCACAGCGCTGCCTTCAGCTGTTTAATGCCCTCCCATTTATCCAACACTGGAGAACGGACTGTGTAGCTAAAATCCGGGATAACACCCTAACAAACACACACACAAATAACACATAAGTGCACAAAAACAAACAATGCTATACAGCCACAGCAAGCAGCGCGAATGTAATTGGGTACCTGAGCTTCCAGCAGCAGGCAGCCGGTTTTATCATGGACCAACTGCCCATATAAATGCACAGGGAGAAACACATTTGGCCTCTGTAACCTACACGATAAATGCTTTGATTAATAAAAGTATACATCATGTTTATACATATTCATAACAGTGTTACTTTAGCTTCATTTAGAAGCCCTTTACAGGAGTGCTGAGACCTTTGGTTGCTGCGGCGGACGTAGTTGTCTCCGTCGACAGGTTTGCGGTATGTTGTGAGAGCTTCATTCATCTGCTCCTCAATCATGTCCACATACTTCAGATTATACTCCTGCAAAAACACACACAGCTCAATACATCTGCATTCAAGAGGAACAAACACAGACACAGGCGTAAAACCGCAGGCTGAGAGAGAGTCAGTGGATTGATGCTTTCACCTTCTGCCATTTATCCAGCTGTTTGTTGACATAGCCTCTTTCATTGAGGTAAGAGAAGCCTTTTGGGATGGACAGGAACCTACAGAGGAGAGCAGAGAGGCATTTACCACATTATATTTATTCTTTTAGCAGATGACTTACAGATGAGGAGTACAACCACTTATAAGCTTATTTAAATATATCGAATTTTATACCACTAACATATTTAGACATTGTCTTTATATATATGACTTTTCAATAACTTCATTAAAACAAAATTTAGTTTGAAATCAAATCCACATGGACTACTATCAAAAATTACTTGCTTTCCTTGAATGATTAATTCAAAACATTAATGAAAAGCAGATTATTGTAGCATAATTTTTGCTTATTATATACATATTAATGTTTGTTGCATTAAAAATTGAAAGTAAATATGAAAATATAAGACCATGTATATTTTTATCAAATGCCAAAGAAATTTGAGATTTTTTTTTCTATTGGCATGCAGTATGACCAAAATACAATGACAATTCTATATGATAATTCTATATCACAATAACAGAATATATAATGAATGCACATAACTAAAGTTATTTTTGCTGGATATTCAACTTAAAAATGTTTTAAATATCACACAGCCACATAGAAATGCTTATTTTAGGCTCTAATTCTATCAAAAGCAAAGTGAGGAATAATTCTGTGTGATGCAGTATAAAGTTTTAGTGTTGGCCAGAAATATACAAACTAGCTCAGGGATTCCCAAACTTTTTTTTTCAGCATTTCAACATTTATTTGCTTCTCTGATGTTGGTTAATAGTCACATGAAATGGAGGTAAAAAATAAATAAATAAAAATTATATACATTTCATATTTTTACTAAGTGTTTGATTTTGATTGTTTCATTTTAAATTATTTATTTTCATTTAACATTTTTATGATTTATTTAATTGTTAGCTTTTTATCCGCTCACAAACCCTCTGCAGTTCTCTCACAAACTCCAGTTCGTGAAACTAGCTAAAAGGTTTCTTTTTAAGCGATACATTTATGTAGTAAACACACTTAAACTGAAAACCAAGACCTGTTTTACCTCAACAGCAGCAGAAGGCCTTTCTCTCCCAGGTGAGACAGAGCAGGTTTCATGTGGATCAGAGCGTGCAGGTTGGCCTATAATGATCAAACCGCAGAAATAAAGAACATTAGAGTTCCTGTAAGAAACACATTTAACTGATACAAACCAAGCAGCATTGTGGGTGATATTTTATACCATTAACAAAGTATTACATTATTTAATGCTTAACAGATTCTAATTTTTTCACATATCGTCCTATCTGAAAGTACATGAACTAATGATCTGCATTGCATCATCGACTTCCTGTAGCGGTGATGCTGATTACCTTCTCTTCACAGGCTTCGTCCAGGATGTCCAGTGCCTCCATGGAGACGGTTTTGTTGTGGTCATGCAGCTGTGTGACAAGCAACTCCATCCCCCAGTTACTGAAGAACTCAACGTTAGCACGCAGCAGCACGCGCAGGTGTTTGGTGGCGTACAGACGGCAGTTCTGAAACCAGACAAACAGAAAGAATCGCTAGAAGTTCATTTGAGATCAAACTATATTCCAATATACAGTCAGAACAACTTGAAAATGTTTTACAAGAATCTTATTGGAAGGATATCACTGTTATCTACCATATAACACATTTGTTTGTTCTAATAATAATCATTAATGAAATGCAGATTACTGCAGCATCAAAAAATATCTTAACATATTACATGCATATTTAAAGGTAAGTTGCATTGAATATGGAAAGGAAATATAGGGAGAATCACTCTAAAATGCATCCAAATCACAAATAATCATTTAAGGGATTGTTTAATTACTGAACATTAATGGAATGCAAATTACTGTAGCATTAACAAAACATCTTTGCACATTACATGTGTATTATTTAGCTGTATTTAAAAGGTATGTTGGAAATATGAAAATATAAGGCCATTTATATTTTTACAAATATGAAAATATCTATAAGCAAAGCAAAACTTGGAATTAAATGGTTTTGTAACAGGACAAACAGGGAGAATCAAACTGTATATATGGATATATATATATATGTGTGTATGTATGTATGCATGTATGTATATGTGTGAATATATATATATATATAAATATAAATTATTTTTTATTTTTATATTACCCATTTTCATTTGATTTGAAAGTTTTAGTCATTTTGTTAAAGGGGTCATATGATGCGATTTCAATTTTTCCTTTCTCTTTGGAGTGTTACAAGCTCTTGGTGCATAAAGAAGATCTGTAAAGTTGCAAAGACTAAAGTCTCAA